GCCAGCAGCGGTGCCGTGCTGCTGCCCGCTGCAGCCCTCACGGGACTCCCTCTCCCAGGCCCCGCTTCAAAAGCCTCTCAAGGGAAAAAGCATAGCATCTTTTTCCATCTCTCACGGAGGATTTCTTAACCGATTTGCAAGGTCTCTCGTTATTCTATCAAAAACACTTTGGTGCTATCCTATGAGGTACCGTAGTTAATTAAATTTAAACCATAGCATTTGGGGTTTCCTTAAATGGGAAAAAGTACTTCATTCAGTAATACAGCAACTGAGATTTATTTTTCTAAATCTCTAAGGAGATGCTGTGTAGAACCACTTTTATGACGATGGGCACATTCCTGTTGAGCGTGGTCACCTCCCTCCTCATGTGAACCATTTAGGGACTAGCAGCTCCTCACTCCTAGGATGTAGTCTGGCTTTAAAAGTATGGCTTTGTGCTTAAGGTATGACATGAGGTGTTGGCAGTCCCAGCTGGGTCTTTGGGGCAACCCTGCCCAAGACACCACCTTTTTCTTTGTTTCTGTTTCCTGATCTGCCAAAAGGGCCCGCGAGTACCTCTGCACCACCCGGCTGCTGTTGAGGTCCGAGCCTCTTCTTTCTCAAAGCCTCTTGAGATCCTGGTGCAGAGCTCCAATGCTCTGTGATTGTGCATAGAGTTGCAAGATCTGAAACTTGGCATCATCTTAGCTACAATTGTTCCACTCTGATAATTTAATTAATCAACACTGCAGCAGAGTGTTTGAAATAATGTGTGCATTCATTTGCATAATAGCTGTAATTGGCAAAGCTTCATAATATAAGTGTAGAAGTTCCACAGATGATAGCGTGATAGACCATATTCCTGCAGCCAGCCAGCAGCACACGTTTCAACCTCTGTTATTCGCTTTTCCACAGAGGAAGGAAGTGACAACTAGATTTATTGACCAAGGGACAGAGAAGACCGGCAGATTTTTGACGGCACTTGAACACATATATTTTCTACCCGACTGTGTTGCTGTGTCAAGAGAAAAAGGCCATAGTCAGGTTTTAGAGCAGAATCTCCACTCCAAACGGAGTTAATTGCTTTTCCAAGTAACGGGATGTTTGGCCATGGAGATGTCCAAACATAGAGCCAAAGCTGATATTTTCACTGTCATGTCAAAGTGGAGTCTCCAGTTTCAGAACTGCAATCATTAGGTACCTGAGCAACGTCTGCAAAGAAAATCAGTGATTGCCACTGGAGAGCCCCTTGCTTTGGTACCATCTCACTAGGAATGCCCTCAGGGAGTGGTCCAGATCCTCCAGGGCACGTTGAAGTTAGTCCTCAAGGACAGGATATTATTTTAAATAAATACTCGCCTTGTAACAAACATGACTGAGGCATCAGTGGGCATGCAGTGGTTGTGGAAATATTAATCCTCAGGAGATGGGCTTTAGGTAATCAATTGTCATCTTTTAACTATCTCACTGTATTCATTACTTTGCAATTAGCAAGACAGTTATTGATTGTTAACCAAATGCCAGATGACTGCGAAAGTACATGTGCTGAAGAAAAAAAACCAGTGCAGCAGAAATATATTCCCTGCTCTGCACAAAAATGCATTGATATAAAAGGGCCCAGTCTGTGCTCTCAGGAGGACGCCTGCTGATAAGCCTCAGTGCAGAATAGCCATATCAGGATCAGAGCCGGCATTACTTCATTGAAATGAAGTGACACTTGAAAACTAAGTTCCCAGAGAGCCCTGTGAATGGTTCAGGACAGGGGCTACCTGTTGGTTTGGAGAGTGCTTCGGAAGTCATTTAATATCTCTCCACTTTAGCTTCCCTTCCAGGTTTGAGGGACCCAAAGCACATTCTCAAGAAACATAGTAAGAAGAAAAATGTGAACTGCTTTAGCTAACGTCTGCTGACATCACAGGCAGTTGGTGGGAGCACTGCAAACCCCATTTTTCATCATCAGCGGACAAGGGTGTTATCTATCTGGACTTCTGTAAGGCCTTTGACACAGTCCCCCCACAACATCCTTCTCTCTAATTGGAGAGATACGGATTTGATGGGTGGACTGTCCGGTGGGTGAGGAATTGGTTCAATGGTCGCATCCAGAGGGTAGTGGTCAACGGCTCAATGTCTGGATGGAGATTGGTGACAAGTGGTGTCCCACAGGGGTCCGTATTGGGACCGGTACTGTTTAATATCTTCATCAATGACACAGACAGTGGGATCGAGTGCACCCTCAGCAAGTTTGCAGATGACACCAAGCTGAGTGGTGCGGTCGACACGCCAGAGGGACAGGATGCCATCCAGAGGGACCTGGACAAGCTGGAGAAGTGGGCCTGTGTGAACCTCATGAGGTTCAACAA